ACATTCACATTCTCCAAAACAATAATTTAACCAAAATCTCACAACATTCTATTACAAGAGTATAAAAAAAAGTCAAATACAAGCTTGAACTATATTTGACTTGGGTGACTAAAACCATGAACTTAGAATCTATTTTATAGCCGCCTTCACCCACGTTATTACTTATCCTAAGTAATGTGAAACTTTTCAAGATGTATTATTTTCATCAACCTAACATTGTCCAAAATTTATCAATAAATCCTCAACTTAGTATGCCATCTTTTCACCGAAAAAATCCCCTACCACCTTTTCTTAAACCTCTCCAACAATATCTTCTTTAGTGATACTCTAGTGATCTTTTCATCAAAAACTCAACTCTCACTCATCAAAATCACCTACAACAATTTTAGTAGGAATATTTGGCTCTATGTGAACGTTGTAATATCTGTAATTGGACTCCAAACGCAATCACTTACAAACAATTTTAGTGTGAATAGTTTGCATTAACCAAAGGTAGGGTTTCCAGCATGAAACCTTATCTTTGGTTAATGCAAACTATTCCTCTTTGTTCACCTCCCCGTAGAGGATAATGGTATCACTAAACTTGTTTATCTAAGATTTGTGCCAAAATTTCAAGTGCTTTTACTTTGCAAAACCAACTTTTTTGGTTTGGCCACATCTTTATATTTTGCAATGTACACCTATTAAGGATGAAACTCGAGTTCAATTCTTTAATAGGATTTGTTGCGTGACAATGTTTTGGAGGTTAAAGAGAATCATATTATTCACGCACAATTCCCCTTATTATTGGCTTAAGAGACGACATTGTTGAAGATTCATAACTTTTCTAGAAACTTTTTCGCCTATTATTTATTGACCGATATATGATTTATAATTTTTTTCATTAAAGATATTATAAGTAATGATGATTTATTAATGTTGGATCATAAAATAGAAAAGAAATTAGAGTAATTCAAAATCATGACATAATAGTTGAATTATAAAATTATAAAGGGTTAAATATGTTTTTAGTCCCTAAACTATTGGTCGTTTCTGGTTTTCGTCCATGTTTCAAAGTAAGATACAATTTGGTCCTCATTCTTTTCGAAACGTTTGTTTTAGTCCTCGAAAACTAAACACTGTTAAAAAATTTGGTCCTCATTTAGCAACAAATGAGGACTAAAACCAAAATTCCGAGGACTAAAACGAACGTTTCGAAAAGAATGAGGACCAAATTGTATCTTACTTTAAAAGATGGACGAAAATCAGAAACGACCAATAGTTTATGGACTAAAAACATATTTAACCCAATTATAAAATTACCATGTAAAGAAAATATCAATCAAATAAGATATTTAATGGAAAAATTAAATTATATATACTCAATTAAAAAATATGTAATTTTTAAATAGTGAGTAGATCGCAAAAATTTAATAAAGAATAAATGAATAACATACCTAAATTTATCTAAAGTTTAAAATTTAATTATCAAAAGTCTAGTTTAGAAAGACGTTAGTATTAATAAAATTTTCTCAAGATTTAAAAGGAAAATCAAATACATTAAAGATAAAGTAATATACAAATTACAAATTAGAAACTCCATTTGCGGTAAGATTTCTGTTTTACAGTTTGTTTTAGTATCTGTACGTACTTTTTCATTTTTATATGCATATAGATTTTTCGTTGACGTGAAAGAAATAAATATTAGTAGCCCTTAATATGATGTTTCACAATAGCTTTTTAATTCTGTACGTGAGGGAATTTTTGTGGTGCATCTTTGTTTGATTTTTAATTAAAAATATATAGCAATCAAACATAAATTGCATGGAGTTCAATTTGAATAAAAATAAGATAATATAATAATTTTGTATAACTTCATCAGCTGTTCTGTTATATTAAAAGGTTTGTTGTTTTCAATATTATGTTAAAACATATTTACTTTCACACACATTTTCTTTCTTTTGTTTATTAAATAAACTAGAATAAAATGGAAATATATAAAGGAGCTCTATATTTTTATAACAAAGAAAAATAAAAAATACAAAAAATATTATGTCATATTTATATTAGTCTCAATATTTATAAAAGATTTATTCAATATGATTCTTTAGATATTTTTTTTACCTTTTCAATTTAACGTGGTGTTTTTCATTAAATTGATATTAACACCGTGATTATGTATTACTGTGTTAACCTTTTTTTTCTGGGTTTTTTATGGGTTTGTTTTTGTCCTTTTCACATTCTACCACCTTTGACCACCATATCTCTTTTTTACTCTAAATTACATTGAATCTTTTAAATAAAACTAAAAATTAAATTGAAGACAAAAAAAAAATCACATTAAACAAATTTTATAATGAAACCAAAATATTAATTAAACATATTTATATATTATCACATAAGATAATTCTTAGAATCTACCTCTCTTAAATTTCAATATATAATATTATCTGAAATTCAAAATACAAATATTAAAATTACTCTTTCTGTATTACTTCTTTCGAATAATATGTTATTTTACATCAAGATAATCTCCTTCCTTTAATCTCATTCCTTTTATGATAGGATTATTGTGTTAGTCTCTCTTCACATATTTATAAATATTTATAAGAAGTTAGTCAAATTTGAGTTTTTCATTTGATTACACACATTTTCTTTGGAAAATGAATTAACTTATAATATATTGTTAAATTTGAATTACTTCAAAATTGTTAAACTGCAAATTAAATCAAATCAATTGGTTATAAGAAAACCACGTTAGTAAAAAAAATCAATTTTAATCCATTGTCCATATTTATATCGAATTTATTCTGTTTTCATAATTTCCAGTAAAAAATTTTAAAGATTTATTGAGGAGGATTTAAAGTCATTAAATAAACCTTAAAATATTTCATTGATATGAGAGACACATAAAAGATACTTTTAAAAAAAATGATATGTATTAGTGTATTCATTATTCTCTCCGACATGCTCATTTGTTAATTATGAATAAGTTAGTTAATTAAAAAAATTGACTGGATGCTTGGTGTGACAATGTATTCGAATCAGTGTATTATTGTATTAGCATTAAGTAGAAGTAAATACATCCGTGTCTGTCTTCCCACGTGCTCGAATTATTCAACCGTTGTCAGAGGACCAAAATCACAAAAGTTAAACAAAATTCTGTCACCTCCATTTTTTTATACTTTTCTTTATCACCACGTGTTCAAATTCTTATCTCTCATCTCTCTCATCCCATTCTCTCCTTCTATTTTACGCCCCTCCTCTGTTCTTCGCTCTCTCCACTCTGTTTCCACTAAAAAAACAGAGTATGAAATTCCGTTACTCCATCCTGCTCATATCAATCCTCCTCGCAGTCTCGGCTGTGGTTTCTGTCGCCGAGCCTACTCCCTCCGCCGCCTACAACCGCGTGCTGTTTCCCGACCGGAGATGCCAGAGGGCGATGTCGGAGAACAGCACAAGGCTCGGCGCGCCACCGGTGGCAGCGGAGTGCGAGGTGTGGAGCGAGGCTTGTTCGGACGCGGTGCTGAAAGTAGCGCGGCAGTCGGAGACAGCGGAGTGGCTGAGAGGTATTCGGCGGAAGATCCACGCAAATCCTGAGTTGGCGTTTGAGGAAATCGAGACGAGTCGCTTGGTGAGAGAGGAGTTGGATCTGATGGAAGTTAGCTATCGGTATCCCCTCGCTAAGACCGGTATTCGAGCTTGGATCGGCACTGGTGGTCCTCCTTTTGTTGCCATCAGAGCTGACATGGACGCACTTCCCATTCAGGTCTCCTTCTCCCTCTCTTCCTTTCAATTTTCCTTCTGTCTTCTTCAAAACCTAAAACCAAAACCAATTCACAAAAAACCACTAATATAATATAATATAATAAATATAATATAACATGGTATAATATAATAATATTACCCTCTTAGTGGACTTTCTAATCCTTTCCAACTTGCCTTCAAAGATTCATGTTTATCTCTAACTTCATTCATGATATTACTTTTAATTTTTAAAATAATTTAAAAAATTAAAAAAAAAATGTTTTTAAGTGGATTTTTAAAACATTTTTAACAATAAGAAGAAAATTTATGTTTAAATATTTTATTATGATAAAAAAAATTATTATTGTTATTCTTTTATTGCGTCTTATTACGTGTCGACACGAGACATAGTTGAAATCTTTGATTTGTCTTTATATGATAGATATTAATGATAAACCTTTAGATATATTTGAGTTGTTATAAGTGTTTTGTACTATATGTCTGACAATAATAAAAGTAGTTATACTTTATGATTGTGAAATTTTTGTGTCTAACTTAAAAGACAAAGATTATTAAAGAATATATTAGATTCTGTACTTCGATAAAAAGAGTATTTGTTTTTCAGTGTTATATTTGAAAAGAAGAAAAGAAGGAAATGTATTATACATAGATTTTGTTACATGTATTAATCTTCCTTAATATAATTTATTGCAATGTTTTGCTTTGAAGTTTCATAGTAGCATTTGAACCAAAAATATAGATGGATGTGTTTTCTTTTTCACTACTTCTACCCCACTTTACTACCGTTGACTATAGATTTATTTTCTATGCATCCGGCAGTGAAAAAAAGCGCTTAACTTTACATTTACATAACAAAAAGTATGATTTGCCAAATTATGTTGTGATAAAACAAAATTCCATCTCATCACTAGTCGGGATTCGTTGTAGGAAGCTGTGGAGTGGGAGCACAGGTCTAAAGTTGCCGGCAAAATGCATGCTTGTGGGCACGACGCACACGTTGCCATGCTTCTTGGCGCTGCCAAGATCTTGAAAACTCGAGAGCATCTATTAAAGGTTTGTTCTTTCCTTATCTCTTACTACTAATCAACATACTATTCCACCATTTCTTACAATTATTTTCGACACTTCCTCGATCATCTCAATCACACATAATTAACAACTTCACTTCATACTTACATTTAAGGATATTCATTTACAACTACATAATTTTATTTTATTTTCAAATTTAGAGCAAGAAATCTTATATATGAAATTTTTCAGTATTTACTTTAACACATTATATATATGTTTTCCGTTTTCTACAATAATAAATAAGAGTATATAGGATTCACATCTTTTATCTTGATACCATGGTTTATAATGGCATAACTTTATTTGGGACGACACTTGGGCCTAGAAGTGTGGTCCATTACACTTCCTTTGCCTCTAACAATTCCATTGCACTTTTCTGTGGAAGACACAATCTTCTTACTGTGTGGGTTTAGATATATTGCCGCTATCAGTAATGGCTCCCACAAGGACAGACAGTGGAAAAACTTCTTCATAAAGATTCAAACGGTGGAACTTTTATATTTAAGAAAGAAAAACAAGTCAATCTTTTTTGTTTTCTATTTGGTGTTGTTAAATATAGTGAAAATTATATATGGGATTAATCTCCCTTGTGTTAAACACACATAGGTTTTTTATTTATAATTGAAAAAATATGGACTAAGCCCAAAATACAAATAAGAAATAATAACAAACTAACTGAAAGATAAAAGATATAATATTTCTAACACTCCCCCTCAAGCTGAAGCATACAAATTGTATGAACCAAGCTTGAAATAATTGAACTTGGTTTTGAACTAGATGATTTGTCTTTAAGAGTGTGAGTCAAACAGAGATGGGTTATCACATGTCAATGAACAAACAACAGCTTGTGAAACTTCAACTTCAAAAGTGGATGAAGGAGAGCAACGGAGAAGGAGGCAAGAAACACTTCAACTTCAAAAGTGGATGAAGGAGAGCAGCGGAGAAGGAGGCAAGAAACACTTCAACTTCAAAAGTGGATGAAGGAGAGCAGCGGAGAAGGAGGCAATAAACACTTCAACTTCAGAAGTGGATGAAGGAGAGCAGCGGAGAAGGAGGCAATAAACACTTCAACTTCAGAAGTGGATGAAGGAGAGCAGCGGAGAAGGAGGCAATAAACACTTCAACTTCAGAAGTGGATGAAGGAGAGCAGCGGAGAAGGAGGAAATAAACACTTCAACTTCAGAAGTGGATGAAGGAGAGCAGCGGAGAAGGAGGCAATAAACGCAGCAGATCTGTGCGACAGATACAATAAGAAAGGAAGAACAAGGTAAGAACAACAATACAGAGGCGAAACCCTCTACAATAGAGACGAAGCACAAAAAAATGCAGAAAGAAGAAGGAGGTCCGAAGATGCGGAAGCATGCGACGAGAAGAAGACAGACGTCGATGGCAACAATGGCTGCTCTGGAAGGTCTGAACAGAGAGAGGGAGGTTCGGTGAGATGACTGGCAGCGGCGCGGTTTAATACCGACGCCGAGAAGGCGGCACGTGATGAACACACGTTCGAGATCTACTTCCGGAGAGTGGAGGCGCGTGACAGCGCATGAAAACGAGACAAAGACGGCGACCGCTAGGGTTAGGTCGCGCTTGAAGAGACGGTCCAAATCCACTGGTCACCGGTCGAAACTGTGACGGTGGCCGGTGAGAAGGCGACGACTGGTTCAGAGGAGGCAGTGGTTCCCAGGAGACTTGTCTCTTTGATTCTGGGTGCTGAGATTTAAGAAGAAGAGAAAATGAATCTTATGAAATTTTTAGGGGCTGTCGGCGGCCATGACGGCCGACCGACAGACAGCAAAGACCACTGGAAGAGATTAGAAAACCTGCTCTGATACCATGTTAAATATAGTGAAAATTATATATGGGATTAATCTCCCTTGTGTTAAACACACATAGGTTTTTTATTTATAATTGAAAAAATATGGACTAAGCCCAAAATACAAATAAGAAATAATAACAAACTAACTGAAAGATAAAAGATATAATATTTCTAACACTCCCCCTCAAGCTGAAGCATACAAATTGTATGAACCAAGCTTGAAATAACTGAACTTGGTTTTGAACTAGATGATTTGTCTTTAAGAGTGTGAGACAAACAGAGATGGGTTATCACATGTCAATGAACAAACAACGGCAAGAAACACTTCAACTTCAAAAGTGGATGAAGGAGAGCAGCGGAGAAGGAGGCAATAAACACTTCAACTTCAGAAGTGGATGAAGGAGAGCAGCGGAGAAGGAGGCAATAAACACTTCAACTTCAGAAGTGGATGAAGGAGAGCAGCGGAGAAGGAGGCAATAAACGCAGCAGATCTGTGCGACAGATACAATAAGAAAGGAAGAACAAGGTAAGAACAACAATACAGAGGCGAAACCCTCTACAATAGAGACGAAGCACAAAAAAATGCAGAAAGAAGAAGGAGGTCCGAAGATGCGGAAGCATGCGACGAGAAGAAGACAGACGTCGATGGCAACAATGGCTGCTCTGGAAGGTCTGAACAGAGAGAGGGAGGTTCGGTGAGATGACTGGCAGCGGCGCGGTTTAATACCGACGCCGAGAAGGCGGCACGTGATGAACACACGTTCGAGATCTACTTCCGGAGAGTGGAGGCGCGTGACAGCGCATGAAAACGAGACAAAGACGGCGACCGCTAGGGTTAGGTCGCGCTTGAAGAGACGGTCCAAATCCACTGGTCACCGGTCGAAACTGTGACGGTGGCCGGTGAGAAGGCGACGACTGGTTCAGAGGAGGCAGTGGTTCCCAGGAGACTTGTCTCTTTGATTCTGGGTGCTAAGATTTAAGAAGAAGAGAAAATGAATCTTATGAAATTTTTAGGGGCTGTCGGCGGCCATGACGGTCGACCACCGGCAGACAGCAAAGACCACTGGAAGAGATTAGAAAACCTGCTCTGATACCATGTTAAATATAGTGAAAATTATATATGGGATTAATCTCCCTTGTGTTAAACACACATAGGGTTTTCTATTTATAATTAAAAAAATATGGACTAAGCCCAAAATACAAATAAAAAATAATAACAAACTAACTGAAAAATAAAAGATAAAAATAAAAGATATAATATTTCTAACATGTGTCTTAAGAAAACCTCGGACATTTCACAAAATTTAACATAGATATAAACCTGTATAATTACAAAATATTTAAAATTACCGTTCATGAAAATAATATTTACAGGATTTATATGTTATATATGAAATAATAAATCTCCTAGTAAACACAACTTAAAACTTTAACACCTTTTTACAGTCATCTCTACTAAACATCAAGTTTTACAATATTTGTATAAATTTTAAATGATGTGTATTGAATAAGTAGTAATAATTAAATAAATATATTGTCTATAAATCTATGTTACCCAACTTAATCTAATTCATTATTATTAAATTACTTCGATTCTATCTCGAGGTTCCAGATTAACTTAGCCAAGTGGATATATTTTGATTGGCTGCCCTTATTTCTTTCAGAATTTGAGCTTTTTGCAGTTTGTCCTATTTTTGAAGTACAGAGTTGATTATGATTACTATTTTCTTACACCATTTTAATTATCTTATGCTTTGTGGGGGTGAATATTTTTTTATAGATTTTCATATTGTCAGATAAAATAAAAAATATTTTAATTATAATTTTAAAATTATTTACTATAATAATTGAAAATTTTATTCTGATAACTTTATTATTAGATGATAATATAATTTAATATTATTATTGAACCGTAACAATTACATTATAAACAACTCTCCATATGTACGTTTTTACTTTTTCAATTATGAGGCGCGTTGACATTTTTAAGAACTCATCACGTGAAAGATTTTAGAATGTGTGTTTAGAAGGTCCTCTAACCAACTTTTTTTATTTATTTATTTATGATTTCTAAGAATCAGGTCAAGTGGGTTGTCTGCCCAGGTTTGACAAGTAAATGCGGGTGTCTTATAAATATTATTTTTTACATTTTTTACAACACGTATTTATCTAAACTCGTCTTTGTTTTTACATGTATTTCTCACATACAACGAAAAGTAGGCATATTTCCTCATAAGTTATATATGACGCTACACGCATACAAAACTGGCTTACTGTGTTACTTTATTTCAATAACTTTTTTTCTGTTATTAGTTTTTGCATTCCTGCTTTGATAGGAATTTCTGAATTTTCTCATTTAGCGAGTTAAATGGGTTAGATTATGATTTTACGTTTTCGTCTATAATTAGGAAGTTCAGATTCCTTTTAACGTGCTTGCTACTCTACTTCCCAACTCGTTCATAAATAACGAGGAATACTAGTTAAATTATATAATTAAGCTTATTTGCCTTAGTCATTCCATCCTTTTATTTATTTTTTCTTAGAGGTTTTGACTTTAATGTTTAATTTAATTTAAAATATGTTAAGCAGTGTTTTCTTTTTAATTTTAATTCAATTCTTCAAAACTATTTTGTAAAATTAATTTTACATCTATTTATATATTTAACCACTAATATATTTTGTCAGGATTTTAATTTTTTATTATGATATCCAACTCAATTTTAAAATTTTTTATTCATACCAAATTTTTAACAAAATATATTTATTATTATATATAACAATTTTTTTTAAAAAAATCGAAATGGCGGATGAGTTTGGTTATCCTTTTCAGGCCCATTTTCTCCTTAGTGTGACCACAGTTATTTTTTAGTATAAGCCAGATTTTTAGTGAACAAAGTTGGGTCTATATTTACTCTTTGATATCCATCTATATTCTATTTCATTGAAATATTGTTGTTTAACCAATTTCATTGAAGTGAAAAGATATATTTAAAATTTTAATTTTATTTCTAATATGATAAACTTTTATGAAAAACTAGTAATAAATTATAAAAAACTACAATTCAATATAAAAATAATTATTAAAGCCACACAGAATTCTTTTTATTAAAGATAGTGTATATTATTTCATTTATTTAAAAGTAAAATATACATTTTTCTGAAAAAGATTTGACTCAATACAAGTTAAATACAAATAACTCAATAAATTAAATACACATATGAAATTTTAAAATAATAAATTTGAATTAAGATGATTAGTCACA